CTCAATTCCAGCAGAAGACTCCCAGGAAGACAGTAAAAAAATGTCCTCAATGTGTCTTGTGGAGATAAAACGTACCTGCTGACTGGGAGACCCTCACTAGTGACAGACTACATTGGAGGAGGCTGATCTAGGAATGCTGTAGACATATCAAGAGACTTCTGTTTGAGTGCACAACCTTCTAAACGACCAAGTAGCCAACCCTTCAAGTACCAACTGCCCCACAAGTTGCAGAATCTGCAGATGGTGCATAGGAATTATGAGCCATGTCAGCACTCATCAAACTGAAATGGAAGCAAATCATCCTTGATTGCGAGGAATTGCCTAAGAAGGGACAGTCCCAGATCATTAATATTGGGTACTTCCAGAGTTGCTGTCATGTACTCAGCAGCTTTGGCTTGGTATCTTATATCTGCCAGCATCAACACAGAGGCATCTACTTGAGAAGAATTATTTTCAGGCAGAAGAGTTGTCATTGAGCACCAGTGAGGATGAAGACCAGAGAACAGATGAGGCAGGTATTGTCAAACCATAGGACCCAATCTTCAAGATAAATGTGGTGAGAGAGCATTGGTCTACAGAGCAGATAGTAGAGACAGTCACTGCAACAAAATAGATACAAAAATAGTCCATCAAAATCTAAATAGTTGAGGTAATTGAGATGTTCCCACTTTTCTTTTTTCTGCCCTCCAATGTTTTTTATGAGCAAATGCCATAGTATGAGAAAAAAATCTATGGTATTTCATTATTTTGACATAAACAATGATATTAGTACATTCTATTCTCAGCTGAAATATAATCACGCTCATTAATTTTTACATCTACTAAATCAGGAATGTGGAGTTTGGGGTGTAGGTCGATCATGCACAAAATGAAAACTGATTCATTATGCACACACCCACTAACAGATTAATTTATTGAAACAAAAAGTTCCATTTTTGTTCAATACAAAAACACGCCGCAAAAACCTATCATCTAAAGCCAATCTAAAAGTTATTATCAAGTAACACATAGTACCAGATGCAGCACAAAGGACTTTCTTTTTACTTGAATAATAAGTTATTGACCACAGTATAAAACATTTGAGTCACATCCACAAACAAAACCAAAAATACACATTTATCAAATTTAGGCTATGAGAATAACAGTTAAAAAAAACATCAAAACTGAACATATATATCCCATTTTCATACAACAATATCTGTTTAGACAATATTGACCTTCCCCCATTCTCTTTGTACCTTCAATGAAATGATTATGCTTTTGAACCCTTTTGAAATTATGTCATTTTTAAACATTGATAGTTCAGGTTAAAGGGTGTTGCCTTCATTCATAAGTATATTTTTGAGCTTACATTCTCGGCAGTTTTGAAAAGTCATAAAATCCCCACTGTGTGGAAACAGGCCATTTGGCCCAACAAGTCCACACTGCCCCTCTGAAGAGCATCCACCCAGACCCATTCCCCTACCCCTGCATTTCCCATGTCTAACCCACCTAACCTAAACATCCCTGGGCACTATGGGCAATTTAGAATGGCCAATCCACCTAGCCTGCACATCTTTGGACTGTGGGAGGAAATCGGAGCACCCAGAGGAAACCCACGCAGACACGGGGAGGATGTGCAAACTCCACACAGACAGTTGCCCGAGGGTGGAATCAAACCCAGGTCCCTGGCGCTGTGAAGCAGCAGTGCTAACCACTGAGCCACCGAGGTGATCTCATTGAAACCCCTGAAGTGATCTCATTGAAACCTACAAAATGCTTAAAGGGATAGACAGGGTAGATGCAAGCAAGATGCTTATCCTGACTGGACAGTCTAACCACATGGGGCACAATTTAAAAATATGGGGCATGCCACTTAGGTCTGAGTTAAGGAGAATTTAGTTTACTAAGAAGGTTGTGCAGTTTTGGAAATCTCTACCGTAGAGGGCTTTAGAGGCTTCGTCTTTGAGTATACTTAATGTACAGATTGATAGATTTCTGATTACCGGTGGCAAATGGGATTATGGGGATGAGGTGAATAAAAGGTATTGAAATTTGGTCAGCCATGATTGTATTGAATGGCAGGGCTAGCTAGATGGGCTGAATGGCCCATTCCTGGTTCCTATGTTCCAATGAATATGGTCTATTGGTTAGGCCACTTTTGGAAGACTGCATACAATTCCGGTCAGCCTGCTATTGGAAAGATGTTGTTAAATTTGAAAGGGTGAAGGAAAGGTTTACAAGGGTGTTGCCGAGGTTGGAAGGTTTGAGCTGTAGGTTCAGGCTGAAGAGGCTGGGGCTATTTTCCCTTCAGTGTCGGAGGCTGAGGGGTAGCCTTGTAGGGGTTTATAAGATCATGAGCGGCATGGATAGGGTGAATAGCCAAAGTCTTTTTCATAGGGTAAGGGAGTCCATAACTAGGAAGCATAGGTTTAAGGTGAGAGGAGCAAGATATAAAAGGGACCTGAGGGGTAACTTTTTCACGCAGAAGTGGTGCATATATAGAATGAGCTGCCAGAGGAAGTTAGTGGAAGCTGGTATAATTACAACATTTAAAAGGCATCTGGATGGGTACATGAATAGGAAGGATTTAGAAGGATATGGGCTAAACGCTAGCAAATGGGATTACATCAATTTAGACCATCTGGTTGGCATGGACCGGTTGGACCAAAGGGTCTGTTTCTGTGCTGTACTCTAAATCACACTTCTAATGTTATTGTCCAAATGTTTAGTATGTTTGACTCTGCTCCTTTAATTGTTGCATCAATGTTTCAATAATAACATAGCAAAGGAAAATAGCAAAGCTATGTAATAAGGGGTATATTTACAATGACGGATTTCAAGTACAGATATATAACACATTCAAATTATGTTCATGTATGTGCTATTTTTAAAATAACACCTGGCTAAAAATAACACACATATTCAAGTATTACAATCTATCACAGCACATGAACTTGACTGATGGGAAAGAAACATTGGCTAAATATTTAGACCACACAGTATAATTTCTCAGCTATTAGAACATGAGGCAGTGGCATGCTTGAATCTTTACAAGACTCAGAAACACAAATATTAGATGCTACCTAGGATCTGTCGGTTTCCTTAGGTTTGCTTTAATTGTACAACAGACATTAAATAAAACTGCAGGGAAGCAACCAGTGATAAATTATTCAAAAATTATTACCCTTTGATTAGTGCATGTCAATTGAAATTAGACATACTAGTGATAAATCCAAAACTTTTCAGCTGCATATATCTTCGACTGGGACTTAATTATAAAGCTGAGGAAAATGACAGCAGGCCATCCAAAAACTCAGATCTGAACAAAGCCTGATATTGCCCTCTCCCACTCCCAAGGTATACAAACAGGTTAGTTGTTGTCCAGATTTTGTGTTGTTTAGAACAGGACTCCTTTCTGTAAACTTACAAGAGTTACATTAGATGTCCCAGTGTTGTTCATACAAAACCAATCTGCCCCCTTTTGGGCATAAATAATAAAAGAACTTAAACCAAAATAAATGATCCATAAAACAAAGGGAAACTTACAAAACCAAATGATAAAATTATTACCTATCAGTAACTCCAGTCTTAGTACTGCCCACCAAGAGTGCAGGTGAACATGCAGGGTCAGCCAGGCATAGAGAAGAACACTAAACACAGGCAGGTAACTAACATGACACTCTCTTGCCTATGTGGGCTACATCAATTCTGGACCTTAAAGATAAGCACATTGAGGTCTTGGAGAAATCCCCTAAGGTGGTCCTCTTGGCTTACTTGACCCTTCCAGACCAGCAAACTAAAATTATTTCAAGATGTTTTTTAATTTAGGTGATATCATTTTAAGGGCATGAAAGCCACTTAAGGTCATGGATCATCTAAATATGAAAAGTCACACAGAAGTGAAACAAAGCAACACCAGTGCAATTACCTCGTAACAGTTTGAAGAATTTGCAGTCATTTTCTGAGCGGCACTAATTTACTTAAATGGTCCTCAGTCAAAATTCATTCATTTTGTTTATGGCATGCTGCTGTACACAAGCAATATAATTACATTCAAACAATATATCTAATAAAGAGTAGTCTTAGTCATTTAAATGTCAAGTTTAAAAAAGAGCTCTAACTTTTCTTTCATCCATCCAGTTTGATTTTTCTCTCAAATATGGTGATTAATTTTCAAAAACAGATCCATGATTGTCAGCTGGCCTCCAGGTCTTTACCCGAATGTTAATTATTCAAGAAGAGATAAAACTACTTTTGCAAGCAATTTGATTAAAGACTACATCTAAATCCATATGACACTTTCTAATGTGACTTAGAATGAAACTGGGAAATATGACTGATTTTACTCTTCCTGTAATTGTTTTGGCTGAGACCAGCAACCGCAACACAACCCAACGATCAAATTTAGAGATAGTAGGAACTGCAGATGCTGGAGAATCTGGGATAACAAGGTGTAGAGCTGGATGAACACAGCAGGCCAAGCAGCATC